CATGACTATTAATGCTGATCGTTTCTCGAATTAAAGTCCTTCGAAATCCCAGAAACGAGTAGTTTGACACATTGTAAGTTCACAGCATGTAACTAATATTTGCATTTATTATTTAAAAATCTACAAAATTGTACCTTAAAGAGATAGTTATTAATGAAGATGCTTCATTTTTTGTATTAATAACGGTTACCATTTAAGACTTGTCAAATGTCGATTCTAAAGATAACGCTAGCTAGTGTGTGTATAGATTAAGTGACAAAATAATAACCACCGCTGTCATCTATATTGATATTATACAGTTGAAGAATATGTTTGTTTAAACGCGCTAATCTCAGAACTACTGGTTCGAATTGCGTTACGTTCTCTGCGAAAACTAGTCAAGATACCGAAAAATACGTTTGAAAGAATGATTCTTTAAATGATCTAAAAATTCCGCGACAGTATGTCTATTTTTTAATATAACGTCGTGTAATTTATGGAGGAGAGTAGGTTTGCAGAAACTAATTTATGCCAAAATAACTAAGCTGCGCGGACGAAGTCGCGGGCACAGCTAGTAGTAAATAAAATAGTACTATGTTTGCGGAATCATACGTTAAAGCAGAGTGCTCTTTGGATAAAAATAGATTAAATGCCAATAACCCACATCCAACATTAAAAGTCGACTCGAATGCGATAAAGCGTGGAAATTATTTACTATCTCCCTGCAAATTACGACAAACATATTATCTTACGCAATAATAATTAAAATTAAATGCCCCACTAACTTTTAGCGCCACAGATAACCTATGCTTCATAATATGGAGTTTGTCATCGAAATAAAGAACAATTCCTCTAACTCGCTCGTGAGTTAGTAATTCAATTACAAGAGATGTACCGTTCATATCTAACACCACTTAAATATTTATTGATGAGCTCATTGTCAAGGGGTCGTGAGTTTGAGTTTCGATATGTTTCTAAAAACAATTTATATTTTTTCAGAAACAAAAAGTTGTGGAAAATATAGAAATTAAATGGGTAGTAGGAATGTTGAAATTCCGTCTGGATAACAGAGCCACAAAGATCGAGAAGCTGTAATTAAGCAGTTTGTTTCACCTTCCTTTTTTCTTGCTTGTAATTAACAGCTTTAGTTGTTTTGTTAGTCAGAAACTTAACAAGAAAACCGATAATAATTTAACAATACCTCGCTTGTGACTGTGCTTCTATGTGACTGATTACGAATTATAGAAAAAAATTTCTTTGGAAATCCCCGAAATATGCGACGATTAAACTTGATGCTTTTTAATCTGTGGCTGATGGTTCGTAACCGACGGAAATTTCGTTATTCCAACCACTTAAATAATATCCAGATTTCCAGACGAAGTCCAACATCTTTCAGAAAGATTATTAATTAATTAGAAAAATGGTTGTCCAGGCCCCACCTGGACCACCATTTTTCCACATCGATACCACGACCTGCTGATTATTATTAGCCAAACATTGCTTTTATTTCACCAACGTTCAAATGTTTCAATCCTATGCTAAACTGGACTATATGTATTTGAATTTGTATTTTGAATATATACGCAGTAAAACCTACCTCAGCATGTTAACTTACTACCTTATTAACCCCCACATCGTTCTACTTTCTTTAAATTATTCTCAATAATTTAACAGCAATAGTACGTTTATCAACTCATGGTAATGACTTTGCATTAGATCTACACCTTCTGACAAAACAATATCGATGGAAGTAAAGACACTAAAGAATAAATGAATTTAATTTCATATGATATTACGATAAGAGTCATCGGTCATCAGTATATTCTGTTGTTTAATACCTAATCCTTCATAGCTGTTTGTCGAAATTGCGTTATAACAATGAAATAGAAACGATTCTATATATCCAGTTCCTCCAAGTACTAATTACGAGGAAACAGATGGCGCTAGCGTAGCTGATTTAACTTTGACTTACTTAGTGACTTGGACACCCTCAATTCCTACGACTACTTTAAGCGAGTAGTACTCATTTAAATAAAACACTTTAACTGTTTAAAACGCGATATACAGTAGAACTAATATATATCGTGTTTCAAACCGTTAAAAGTGTTTTATTTAAATTAAACTAGTAAATATTTGTCATTTTAAAGCGTTAAAAGTTTGTTTTTTTTTTGTACTATTCGCATAAACTACAGACAATAGGTAATAAGATGTATGGCAAAGAATAAGTAAAATATTGGTAATCAATCGTTGTACTTATAATAAATCGTAAAACTAATTGATTTTTCAAGTTTCAAGTTATCTCTATGCGGAAGCAAATGTTAAATTATTATCAATTCTGAGAAATACTGTAGGGCCATAGGTTTAATTGAGCGACAATTTACTTATATCATATTATTACATAAATATTATTGGTTTTATCGTGTATGCATACAAATATTGCTACTATTAGTAGTATTAGTAGTTTGTGTTTAACTATATATGATAAACTAGCGACCTCGTCCGCGGGAATGGTTATTTTGAGCATCCAAATTAGTTTTTGCAAACCCCGTCATCTTTAGAAACTTAAGCCGTCAGCCATGACGTCGATCGCGTCCCTTCCCGTCGTTCTTGCAAGTGAATCTTAAAGGATAGACATATAGCGTCGCGGACTCTTTTTTAGATCATTTAAAGAGGAATCATTCTTTCATACAAATTTTTGTTTTCGCAGCGTACGCATCTGAAACCCACATATATGAAAATTTTCCCCCGTTCCCGCTGTACCTTTGCTTCCATGAGTCACATCGCGATGTTTGATAGCCTATAAAGGCTCTAACCACCACAGAAAGAACAACTTCAATTCGAACCTGTAGTTCCTGAGATTAGCGTGTTCAAACAAACGAATAAACCCTTCAGCTTTATATATTAGTATAGATCTTTTAATATTTCTTGTGTAGGGAACACTACTTATGATTTCTCCTGTTCACAAAATACCACTGGGTACGCATCTCGTTGAATATCATCAGGCGTTTTCCAGCTGCAAATAGGTTAAGTTATGTTTGCAACCGGGGTCACACTCCACACCCAAAATAAAACTAGACCAATATGAGTTAGAAATAGCTTTTAATTCAAGTGTGTCTAATCTCGTTGCATTACAGCGAATGTCGCCGACAACAATACACATTGTTCTTCGTTTTTAGTCCGATGTTTACATAATAAGTAGAGATGATACGAAAGTGTTCTAATTGTATCATTTCGGTTCACATAACACAAATGTACTAAAAGACTATTCAGACTATGAGGTACGCTATAGCGAGAGACGTGATGTAAATAAACGTATTAGTTGTACAAAGGATAGTCTAGCACACGAGAAGTTTTAACAATACATGTAGCCGGCATTGTGAAATTCCGTTTCACCCTTATGGGGCATGGGGCGAACACATTTATGTGTGTTTCACTGATCTTTTATTTAACAGGCAAGTAGTTGCTCTGCCTGACCGAAACAATTTTTTGTTTCTCTGGGATTCGAACCCAGGACCTTTGGCGCTTAACGCAATGCTAGGCAATACGTTTAACCATTTGCCTACAGATGCGGTCCGGCCGCCTAGCCGCATTACTCACTTTACCTCACTTTTTCAGCTGATTTGGGTCGTTAGATATATATGTACAATGTACATAGTGTATATTGTATAGGTACTCGTGTAGATAACTTAGCACTTATTGAATAATTATATTGTGCTATCGTGATTTTGTAAGACTTACATAATATCAGTGTTAATCTTCAGAAAACGGTATAAATTATTTATAGGCACGTTTCTGGTGTTGTAATTGTATTGTGTGTTAGATGTTTCCTAGTAATTGTGTTTATTTAATGTAATTTATAATGTTTCTATAATATACTAGCTGTGTCAGCGACTTCGTAGAATAGTTATTTCGGGCATCAAAATTTGTTTTTGCAAACCTCTTCATCTTGATGAATTTAAGCTGCTACTCACGACGTCGGTCGCGGCCCGTCGTTTCTTCGCTCGCATAAGTCACAGCGCTAAGTTCTGTAGCCTTCCTCGATAAATGTTCTAATAAACACAAACATATTTTTTCAATTCTGAGATTCAACCAAACAAACTCTCGAGTTTTATATATTGGTATAGATAAGAAAAAGGTTCTCATAATAGACAATTCTAGGAGGCAAGAGGCATATCTGTTATATATATTCCCTTTTAGGTGTAGAGTATTCTAAAAGGAGAACCACGCTTAAATCTTCCTAAAGTCCCCTCGCAATTTAGGAAATCCTTCACAAGCTCAGAAATTTTTTCTGTACTTTAATATTTTCACTTGACTTTGTCTTTGTCTAAGGTCTTTGTGAATTACAAAAATAAGATATATTATGTGAACTGAGAACTTTTAAGAAATGTTAGTAGTTTAGGTATACCTATCCTTGGGATCAAATTACTAAGTAGCTACTACTTTAAGCGATCTCAAGAGAAAAACCTTGAGATTTCGATATTACAGAATCAACATGCATTTACTTGTTTATTCTATTAACGGTGTATAAGAAGATACTTATACGTTTTATTAACTCTTGTCCATTCGAGAAAAGAACCATAAAAAGCCACTAAAACCTCCATTTAATCTTTTATTAATCTTTTATTGCGAATGTGTTTTACCCACTCGTGTACTGTGAGTGCAATAGGACGTTAGGAAAACTGTGTGCAATCGTCAAATAGCATTTTCGTAACGCGCCTCACTTTTATGTCACCTTCACTATTTCTGGTTGGATGTAAATTAAACCATAGTGTCATTTTGAAATGATTTTAATTTTTCTACACAATATTTTATCGTCAGGTAATAAAATGCTCCGCTCAGCGGAAAGGTACATGGACACAGTAATAAATAAACTTATGCTAAATCAGTCTGACCGTCGCGCCGAGCGTCGGGCGCCTTATCCTAGTATCACAGATTCGTAGAGCGGTGGGACGTGGAGAGAAACGGACTCGCGGGGCGTGGGCCGTTCCGGGCCGGGGGTCCGACGAGTCGCGGGGCGCCGGTCACTCGTCCGACGCGGAAGACAGTTGCGTGCTCCCCCCGGAACTGAAGGAGCTTCGGCACGCGCTCGTCTCTGACCCGTTTCCCGACACCGACGCGCGGTTGTCGCTCTCTCTTCTCTCGCTGCCTGGAGTTAAAGTCCGCAGCAGCTCGAGAGCTGCCCGCGCCCGCTGCCCGTCCGCCGCAGCGGCAGACGCGGACGCTCTGTCCCACGCGCTCTTCTCAGGAAGCAAAAGTCTCCGCGCTTCGCGTTGAACTCGCCGCGAACGTAACGCGAATAGGAACGGTGAAACAGCCGAAGCGAGGAGTAATAACACTAATGCAGGAGTCCGTACACACGAGGCTAGACCGGGCGCGGCGGCAGAGACGACCGCGACCGCCGCGTGTGGCACGTGTAACATCACTAGTGCACCCGTTAATAGTCCCACACGAGCTGCACGAGATTCTTCTCTATATCTAAACAATGAAGCGTTCGATATTCGACACCTTATTGAAGTAATCCTAGAGCCGTTGTTCGACGGGGCGGGAGTACGCGCCTGCACTGCCAACAGCGGCACCGCCAGAGAAGGCGCGGAGCTCACCGCCGGGAGACCCTTCCTCAAATCCTCATTGGACTTCCCTTCTCTTCGCGAATTTCGTAAGCTCGCAACAGACGGGCACCTAAGCGGCTGTTCGGGAGGTAGGAGGAACGGGCCAAACTTGCGGTCGGCGTCTGCGTTTTCTGGCATATCAATCTTCAGGGTCAGTCCTTCGCCCTCCTCGATGAGGTCGGGTAAATTGATCTGTGGTTCGTGAAGCTGAAGGGCGCTGGCACCGTGAGCTCTGGCGCGGAGACCGGAGGACCTCGCCGCGCGGTATATCCTCGCGTACATGATGCACACGATAGCCACTGGGGTGATGACACCGGCTACTAGATACACGATATAAAACGCCAGCTCGACTCCTCTTACTGCTGGATGCTGGGGGTAGTAGTGTCGTACTACAGCTATACTGGCGCGAGCGGAGGCTGTCGCGGCTGCTATGAGCCATGTGGCCGCGCAGAGTGCTGCAGGACGGCGTTGTAAGAGCCTGGTGTGGCAACGCAAGGGGTCGGTGACTGCGTGGTGCTGGTCCACGGCGATGAGCATAACAGCCAGAAGTGCTGCCAAGCTGTAGGCCGCGGCCGCAGCGTCTCCCGCCTCTATCCAACCCTCCTTTTCCCGTGCGGTGTGCTCGCCGAACAGGGCGGGCGCGAGCAGGGATGTGGTTACCAAGTTCGTTGCCAGAAGGTTGATGACGAATCTGTAACAAAGGAAAAAATATTTGAGCAAAGTGTATTGTTAAAAACATAACATAAGTAAAATTACTATATAAGCTAAAAGTCGTCATTAAACGTGTTTCTTTAAAACCTTATTTTGTGTTGTGAGTTAATTTGCTGTTCATAAGTTAAAGTCAGCTAAAAGACACTAAGAGATTTCTTAAAAAGTTCCTAAAATATTACCTCATAATATTCTTACGAAAATGCATCGTCCTTCGACACGCGGGGAGTGTCAATTGTTTTTAAAATAATATCTAGTTACATCATCCAAGTGAGGTTTGTCCTGTTGCAATATTGTAAGTGAATTTGACGATTTCGTAAAACAACGTGATGTTATCAGAATCACGTTCTGTGATCGAATGAGGTATTAGAAACAGATTAAACTGATCTATAAATGTCCATTTAAAAGGCAATTAATATCAATGGAATCTATTGCTTCTAATGTTTACTAAATTTTAGTTCGACTTATTTACTTTTAATGAAACATGCCATCACAAAGTTTATCTACACAAGTGAGTTAAGTGGAGCGCGTGTATTTACTTAGATTAATAGCTTTTTAATTACGTGAATTAAAAAATAAATTGGGTGATAAATAAGTTTAATGACCGTTTTAGTTTTTACACTTCGACGCGAACGTTTACTTTTGTTTTCAGTTTCTGAAAATCCGCACGTAACGTCACGGGACAAGCTATCACACACAGTTCAAACCTCAAACAAATGTTTGGCATAATTTAAATCTTAGCATTTAGCAGTATTTCAAGGACTTGTAAATATTTATAAATCTTGCATCATATAATATCAACGGTCGAGTAATACAGACTCATTAAATGTTTGTGTTGTCATGGAGAGATGTAAATTGAATTCTTCATACTTATTTATCCCTATTGATACTTATAACATATTACATGTTTTAACAGTCGACTGTGGTGAGAAGTTTCGCACTGTGGTGGTGGGAAAGATTAAATAAAAACCGCTCCCCACCGGTGGAACCTCTCAAAAAAACGATGTATTTATAGCGGTGTGTATAGCAACAGATTCAATAAGTATTATTTAAGAAACAGAATATTAAATTGAAGTCATGGCGTATTTTTTGTTGAAATATTGTCAAATTCAAGGTTGGGTTAGCGAAGATGGCATGAGTCACGATAAAAATAATGTAATATTTGTTTAATTTAAATCCAAACGATTATTCAACACGCATAAGGAACGTTTGTGATTTAGTGTGAGTTATGATGCTATTAAAATCATATTTAAATATTCTTTTAACCACGCGAATAACAAATTGACATTTTATTAATTTCACGTGTATCTGCACACGATAGCATATTGACAGTATTGAAATAACCTATGGGACGGGCATCGCTCCTTGTCTCGTAATTAGTAATCTCTATGAACATTTCAGACTTATGTTTCACAATTGAAAGACATCTACGAATTCACAAGTAGGGGACAATGTTTTTCTTACTAGAGCTCACTGATTTAGTCCCTCTTATAGCAGGATCTTAACTTTGGGAATTCGTGAAGGCTTTATGGAATCTACCCAGAAGAGACATGGCAACACCCTTAATAGGATCCAGAATGTTCCCATTTATATATGCAAGAGTGACCTTGCATATGCGACATTGGTTCCAGGACCTTCATACATCGTTAATTTGAAAAACAAATGTGATATATTCAATACGAATATATCAAGCTAGGCGGAATCATTTTTAATCATCTTGTTGCTATGTTTCTTATGTCGAGTTCACATTTTCCCTTGCCATGTTAAGAAATCTATCTATATATTTATATATGAACCAAGGTTATATTATTTTTTAAATAACCAATACTATTTAATATATCTACAACATTAGACATATTTAACGGCCTTAGAAATGAATGCTACATGAATACGATAAGCAACAATTGTTGTCATGTTATCGTATTTTAGAAAGTTTGACACCTCTTCTATCTTTGTAGTGCCCTAGTATCGCAGAGAAATTATAAAGAAAAATATATTTGGAATTGTTTGAAAAGAAAAAGATGTTGTTGTTGGAAAATTAACTTCCTGAAAACTCTCCTTCATGAAATTTAACTATGTTTTTAAAGGTTTTCAGGCAGGTCTTTGAGTATGGTTTAGACTTTTTTCAGCGCTTGCTTTTTTTCACAACTCTGTTTCAAAGTATATTATAACAGCTGCCATAATAAAATGTTAGCAAATCAAACATGGCTTAGAAGCATTTTATGTCCTTTGAATCTTATTTATAATAAAAGCAATAAATAATACAAAACATATTATTTCCCTTTGATGTAAGTGGACAAAGATAATATTATAAAAGTCACTCAGTCTATTTCAAATAGAAAATTCAAGAACTAGGTCAATGGGAAAATAAAAATTACTCAGAAAAAATTCTTGGAAACCACTTAAATTTGAAACAATATTTTCCTTGATAGTTTATAACTGACCATCTCAGCGACTTTATGTGCGCCTTGTTCCACAAACGAAAGAGGTTTTTTCAGTTTTGAACCTCAAAAAAAACCGTATGCAAAGATAGATAGATCAGTGGGTGGTACCAGAAAATATATAGGAAACCGTGATATCCGATAAGTTTAATCGCATTTCGGTTTCAGTCTATGGATTTCCGAATATCCTAAATAAAGCTACTTATATCGGCAGCGCAACTTATTGAGATGTTATATGGCTGGGGCATTTCTCCATCCAATTCATCAAGTGACAATGATGATGAACGCTAAAACTTAAATACCTCATACACTTAAAAATAGTCGGTAAAACCCGACATTCATTCTAATTTAGAGACTGCATGAAATAATATTTATTTGTATATATTGCAAGATGGTAATTATGCCGAGGCCAAAACGGTCTACGAATTGGTACGTGATTTATACGCTATATGAATAACCTTTAAAATACGTGAGTTTCATTATATCTAGACAATCTAAAGAACTATCTACTCAGCGTAACATACACGTGTCTTAGCTAAGATGTAAAAATAGATGTTTAATGTCTCAACTAATTGAACCAAGTGGTGTTCACCAAACAAACCGAAGCCACCGTGATCTAGACAAAAAATTGGTGATGATTCCTTTTGTCTTTTTGTAGTCAATATTATTTATCTATAATTTCTCATTCGCCCATTAAGTAATTGCAACTAGATATTACATTAACTCCTTTCGTAATCATTTTTTTCCTGCTCCAAGACAATGAAACTGATGCCATAATTGTAGAACATTCTACATTTAGCATTGTATAGGGACCTGACAGTTGAAATGTCCGTATAAAAAAGCGACTACTTAATATGTCAAAATGTCAATAATGGTACTTCGGGAAGCAAAAAAGACTTCTTCATCGAAGTACATAGACATTTCCTGTTATGGAGCTATATTTCATACTTTCGTAGTTATAATGACATTTTAATATGTTTATATCATGATAAATATTTAAAATCAGAGTCCCTTTACCTGTATGTAGGGCAGACACATTATATGTCCGTTTAAAGATAGTATTATAGCAGCATTAATTTATAAAGAATGTCGGGTCTTGGTTTTTGTGGCCCATGTAAACACAGGTGTTTAATGCTATGAGTAAAAAATACACACATGTGCCTGTCCTTTGTTTAACCATTAAGCCGGAGAGACAGTAAAATTAATTTAACAAATCGCGTGTCATCATTACAACGAGAGATAATATTTATTGTAAACGAAAATAACCTTCCTGATTGAATTCCGCTTTTTCAACCATAAATCTTTTATCATTCTATACGATTCTTCAATGTCAATAAGTGAGATTGTTTTATTATAATCGTGCCATTCATCTGGGTCTGATTTTCCAGACTTTTCCAAATCATTGCGAAATAAACGTTAATATTAAAAATAGCTGTTATTCTTTTGATTTCATTAAAGCAAAGGTCGGCAACGAATTCCAGTACCTACAATGTTTTATTTTTTGCTGACCATAATTCAAATCATGTTAAACTTAAAGTCATAAGTGGAAAACTTAAAAAAACCTCTATTCGCACCTCTTTTTCTGTTATTTTAGTAAAATAAGCATTGTTCTGGTTTTTAAGAAAACACCAAACACATTACTATTCGCAAAGCCAAGGTAAAGACATAACCTCAGAACTTAAAGGCCACGTTTGACCGAATTTGCAAGAGTCGTATGTCCGTCGGTATCTTCTTATGGTGCTAATGAGTCATTAAGAATGATTTACGAGATTTCGACCGTGGGACTCATCCCATTGTTCAGCCGATGTCATACCTACTCTTTAAAATATCAAACATTTATTCAAATATTTATTACGATATGAGAGAAAGTTGTCATCTAACAAAGGCAATACTTAAACCCACAACCTTCCGTATTAGTAATATTTTTTTTTAAATCAAAATAGACACAAACCTAGTAGTCCGCGAATTGAACTTCTTAACTTATTATTCGAGTATATACAACTAAGTATTTTTCTACTTAAAAGGTAATGATTCAAAATAGTAGGTATGTTTTTTATTCATTAGAGTGTCCGCATCCGTCTATAAAATCGTTTGGCTAATAAAGAATAAGAAGACAATAGTCTATATTTCTCATAATTAAATTATGTAATGAGAAAATTAAAAATAATTAGTTTCCCGAAATGACATAACAAGACGCATACGATTTCAAAGTGTCGATCTAGTGAATTGGACCAGCGTCTCAAATCAATTTTCCGATATGAGGCTCATAATAATAATTTTCACACACTGTGTCATAGTTGTGTTTACTTACAAACTTTTTATGCGCATAACCTTCCTATATTGTAAATGGCTTTAGTTTTTTAAATGTAACGTTTTGTTGGTTTAGGCTGGAAGAATTACTTGTAGATTTGTGTAAAGTACCTTCAAAACCGGAGTGATTCGCTAGTATTGTAAACATTCACATCCTTTTTCGATAACTATTAAATTCATATAAGCTCGTCCAAATATTACACTGACGTCTAACGAACCAATTAAAGAGGTA